CGATTTCAAATCATCGCTGGTGCAACTGCGATCTGACGAACCTGCAAACCAATATACCTGCCCTTATCGCTGGATTCTAATCAGAAGTATAGAAGAAAGAAGTTACCAAAGATCTCATCCATTTCATCGTGAATTTTCTTTTGAATGTCTGAATTGCAAGCTACACACCATAGCGTCCATCCCATGCCGGACGCAGTAGTGTCGTGACCTTAAAGAGAGATCCTGGGGAAATCGTATGAAGCCGTCTCTTGAAGGGGCTCACCTTCGAACATGAAGGTATCGACCTCTTCACGTATGTCTTCGTACGAAAGGTTGCCCTCTGCTTGCACGTCGAGCAGTAAATCCAAAAATGCCTTCTTTTCTCTTCCTATCGCTTTTCCTTCACCACGCTCTGCCATTCTTTCACTAATCACCTAGAAATCACAGGATCCCTTGCTGCTCCTGTGTAAGCAAAATGGAATCCTTTTATGTAAGTCGGTAATGGGTGTTACTCGGGATCCACACTAACCCATTCATCCTGAGCTGATAGACGAATTTACGAGAATTCCCTTTCTCGAGATATTCGAGGCATTATTTAAGATAACTCTCAGGTACCTAGCTGAGAACAGCTTGACTACTCAATACCTGATGGCGTGACTTTGTGCCGGGGACTCTACGAATGCATTGAAGGACATTTAGTGAGTGTTGATCAACTTAGTTCGAATTAGGAGATTCAAATAAATTTTTCCTACCTTTCTCGTGAAATCGCTGACGATCTTCAAATGATGATCGTACTCACTGCCGTACGATGACGCATACCTACAATTAGACAATACGAATGAAGCGTTGAAGGCAGTCTACCATAATGTTTTGCTCCATATGACGTCATCCAGTGCCAGAAAAAAGACATTCTATTTTTATATAGGATTCGACTATTGTTCGACTCCATTTCAGATTCGTTCAGTGCTTCAGCATTGTTTTGCGAACCTGCTCCTTGAACGGAGAGCCTCTCTTCGTCCTCCCGGGTGATTTAGACAGCAATAAGGGAATGGTGTATAAGGTTTTTAGTTAATGATTGAATCCATCAAGTGAGAGATTACCAGTAAGGAATAATGGAAATACAATAGTAATGATATTAATAAAGTGATGGGCATTGATCCACATCCTTAGGAGAGACCGACAATCTGCTTCCATCTGCAGTGTCAAGAGGTTTCAAGTGAACTGTGACTCTAAACAAAGACTTGCTAGAGCCGAGTGCCTGCTGATTCTTTTTGAAGGCAGAGTTCACGATAAAAATGGTTTCTGAGTTCTTCCCCTAAAAATACCTAGTGGCCCTAAGGGTAATAGAAAAACGCTGTCGAGTCTCAAAATCCAACAGCTAGGGCATAGTGGGAGCCCCGTTATCGGATCGCCCGGACTTCCCGCCCCTCGATCGACGTCTTTTCCGACGAGTGTCGAGGCGACATAGACTGCAATATTCGCTTTTGCAATACAGACCCACACACAGTCAGCTGATCGCCGAGTAATGAGGAGATGTTTTTTTTGCTATTCCTTCATTCTCTGTTCCTCTTTTTGCTGTTGCGATTTCTTATTTAATTTTGTACTACAAGGGGTCAAAAAAGGTGGGCTATTTTTGCTATTACTAGGGTTTTCACGTGCGCAATGGCACACATTGTATAGCTCATCCATACACCCTATACTTCTTCAATTCTCTGACCTCATTCTCGTATAGACTTTTTAGTGATTTTTCGGAGCTTTTTTTCATCTGGGAAGACCGGGTCACGCAGTTTCTTCGCCTTCATCGCACTATTTTTCATATTATCTTCCATTTTTCGTCATAGTCTGGATTACCCAGAATTATCGTGAACTATGCTTTCAAACAACCTGGTACTAACCTGTGTCTCTGAAGGGAATCAACAGGCTTCCAGCTCATGCGCTAAGCATGAGCGCAAAGCAAGCGAAGTTTCTCTACTCAGGGGCTCATTAACACTACTCGAGACCCAGTACTTCCTGATGAATCAGCAGATAGGAGCACCATTATCAACCGTATGATTTGTAGAGAAGTTGCCCAACAAGCAGCAATTGTTAAACGCTATGTTAATGATAGTTTCAGGGAATCTAATTCAATAGAAGTAATGGAAGTGGTAATTCAGAGTAGTGAAAAGTGGCCATGAAAGCGCAATAATAGCTCATTTAGAAAAAATAGAACTCCCACAAGTAGAAAAACTAGATGAAAATGATCACGTGAATACGATATTGCGGCGCGGCAAACCTCAGAGGCTTTTCGGATATTGGCTAAGGTCCCTAAAATTAACGGGAGGAAAGAGATCGTCGCGGTTACCACAGAGCTAGCGAACTTTGTAGTACGATGTGGCTTTTGACCTACGCTGTCGATTCCTCGGGAGGTCCTATCAGCGGGGCGGGGTCAGGGACTTATACAGTAATCCATAGGAGTTGATTGGGAAGAGTTCAGCTGCGCGCTCGACCTTGTGGGGCTTTTGAGGAGGCGTGATCTACGCGATCAGCCCCTTAGAGGCCCCTGAAGCAAGTCGACCTAAGGCTCGCCCTATTTAACCCTTTGACGACAGCGCGCCTTTTTGCGTGTCTGGCGCGGGGGACAGACGCGTTTTGAAGCTCTCCGCTTCCGCGGCTCACCGTTGAGCCGCGCTGTCCCACGGGCGAGACATTTTTCCAATGTAGGCATTTTTTGCTTTTTTTGAGCGCTTTTTTTTATGATTTCGTCTGAAGCAGGTGTAAATTAGGTAATTATAAGTGCTCAACTTTAGTTAGATCCGGTTTAATCAGTATATAGCTTTGGGAGTCGAAATGGATCAGCCTGCAGTGGACGATTTGGAGGGTGGTTTTGAAAGATTATTGGTCGAACCCGACGAATGTAGAGCTGAAGAACAAACTTTTCAGGCTATGCTTTGAAGTGTTACACATGGGGGACTAAGATTTACTTGAGATTTAGATTCAAGATTTACTTCGGTCGGTAGCCCACAAGCAAGGATTCAGCAGCTGTGTTTGCTGCGGTCACTAATGGCGGACTCTTGAATCGAGGAATGCATCTCTATACCGATAACTAAATGACTTATTGGAACATAGCACCCACTTGTCCGCTACTTGAAAAGGCGAAAAGGCGGCGAATACTAATAAAAGTCGAGGCAGTTGTAAGGAGGGCAAGTTCTTAGAAAAATTCGTTACAGACAACTATCTCGAGCTTCCGGAAGTGTTCTTGGCTGTTTTCAGAAAATGCACAAAAAGAGTGATTTCCAAGGAGAGAATTGAATTCATTAGTAGCTTTCAACAATTAGCAATGTTTTTCGTAGCCCACTTTGTGTATAGTGGTATTTGGTGATTGCAAACCCATTAAATACAAAAAACTCCAGGTAGAACTAAAAATCGAGAAAAACAAACGGAAAGAAGGGTACGGTCCACCGTTGAGCCGCGTTGTCCCACGCGACCAGAAAACCGTGGCTCACCGTTGAGCCGCGCTGTCGTCAAAGGGTTAAATCGCAGTCATACCAGCTTAGGATGATCGGTGGACCCCAAAGGTCGACTGTCCCAAAGGTTAGTTAACAACTTTCAACTTCCTAGTCCATGCCTTCTGAACTTTCTCTGTGGGTTGAAATAACGCTTGATCGGATGGCTTTTCAAATGCCTTTTCTCTTTCCACACTCAAGGAAGGTGAAGGCACCGAAACATCAGCCTAATAAA